TTACTCAAGATGGTCTGTTTTTTATTATGTAATAGGTTTCCTTCATTATGTAATAGGTTTCCTGCAGTTTGCACCGCAATCTCGACAGTGTACCGCTAAATGCTAGTATGCGGTCCCTTGCAATGAGCTTTGGTGTTCTCAGAGTCCGATGTTCAGGCATCGCCTGGTCACCCAGGTATCCTGGTCAGCAGATAAAAATCAGAAACATTAAAAGATATATTTTTGTAATTATTGGAACTTTAAATATTCTTAAGTGTTTTCTGTATGCCCAGTAACCTATGGGGCTATCATGTAATGAATACTCTAACTTGCCTAATTTCTGTGTCCTGGCCCCTTTCAAGTGATTTCATTTGGGTTTACAGCTTTCTTAAATCACACTGGCACCTGCAGTGCACTTACGTGCAACTCATAGTTTGCAGGTATCGGGTGGTTTAGTTTGTCATTGCATTCTGTCCAGAACCTAACCACATTCCACATTTTTTTGTTTTTCTTTGTTTCGAGGTTCTATAGTTGTTCATATAGACTTGATTGCTGTGCAGGTTACGAACATTGCCTTCCACTTGAAAGCTGGACGTAACCCAGTAATTATTTTTCAAGAATAGATACGAACATGTTTTACTCAGTGCTGCATCTTGTGTGCACTTGCTTGCAATTTCTTACTAACACAGTGTTCGAACACCTATCTCTGGGAGGTGCACTTGGCAGTAACCTCTGAAATTAACTTGTGACAGCAGGCTTGAAGAAACTCATTGAATGTGGAAATTTCATTTTGAAAGGTATTTTTCGAACTTGCCTTGTTAAAATGGTTTCATAGCATAAGTCACACGTTGGTTTCACTGAATAGTGCCTGCCAGAATGAATCTGAGTTACCTGCACTGCGCTTATGTATAACTCATAGTTTGCAGAAATCGGGAGGTTTAGTTTGTCATTGCATTCTGTTCAGAACCTAATCACATTCCACTTATTTTTTTCCAGGTTCTGTAGTTTTCCGTATGGACTTGATTGCTCTGAAAATCAGAGATTGCCTTGTACATGAAAGCTGGACATGGCCCACTAATTATTTCTCAAGAATAAAGGTATGAACAGGTTTTACTCCGTACTGTATCTTATGTGCGCTTGCTTGAAATTTCTTGCTACCACAGTGTGTAATTATCTCTTGAGAGACACATTTGGCAGTAACTTCTGAAAGTAACTCGTGACAGCATGCTTGCAGAAACTCATTGATTGCAGCAATTTTGTCTTCGAAGGCATTTTCGGACTTCCTTCGTTAATTCGTAGTATAGGTCTCAAGTTGGTTTTGCTGTCTAGTTCCCGCAAGAGTTAAGCTGAGGCTCTTGCAATGCGCTCACGTCTAACTCATAGTTTGCAGAAATTGGGAAATTTATTCTGTCATCGCACTCTGTTGATAATCTGATCACATTCCATATTTTCTGTTTTGCTTTTCCAGGATCTGTAGTTCTTCATATGGACTTTATTGCTCTGAAAATCAGAGATTGCTTTGTACATCAAAGATGGAAATGGCCCACTAATTATTTCTTGAGAAAAAAAGGTATGAACATGTTTTACCTAATACTGTATCTTGTGTGCACTTGCTTCAAATTTCTAACAGTGTTTAAGCACCTGCTAACCGCTGGAATGCGCAGCTGGCGTTAACTGCTGAAAGTAACTTGGGCCCACAACCTAATCAGATTTTATGGTCGCTAGATATTTACTTTGAATTGTTCCCGCATCAAAAATTAGTTGGTGTGTTGTCCGTAACTTGCGGCGGCAAAAAGCTGCAACTCTCAATCACTGAGCTGCACGTCATGCGTGACAACGGGAATCATTCAGACATTAAAAATTAGCTGCCGTGTTGTCCATACCTTGCAGTAACGGCTAGAGCCTGTTGAACTGCTAGCTGCAATGATCTAATAAAACGGACGTCTCAGTGAACAATAATTATATTAGTAAAATGCTATATTTATTGTTCACTGAGACGTCCATTTTGTTAAGTCACTGCAGCTAGCAGTTTAACAAGCTCTGGCCGTTGCTTCAAGGTGCGAACAACACGCCAGCTAATTTAAACGATTCCCGTCGTCGTGCGTCACGTGCAACTCTGTGATTGAGAGTTGCGGTTTTTTGCCGTCGCAAGTTACAGACAACATGGCAGCTAATTTTTGATTCCGGAACAATACCCGTATCCGTGCATCTTGTGCAGTACAGTGACTGAGAGTTACAGTTTTCTGCCATGCTTCTACCCATGTCAAGTTACGGGGAAAACCGTGGGGCCTCATTACTGTCATGCACGTAATAGATAGTTAATGCTGTGACCGTGATGGAAGACAACACTAATTGTATCGGCATCAAAAATTAGCTGGTAATTTTTATTAATTTGACGGAATTTGTTTTTACAGTGAATGTACTTTTTGTCAGGATCTGATGAGCTATTGTGTCTAACTCTTGACCGGGAATCTCCGACGAGTCCAGCGTGTAATCCACGGCGAAAGGCCCTGTACAGCGCTATTTGTAAGTGCTTTTTATTCTAATAGTCCGTGAGAGACGTTATGATTGGTTATTTTTGTGTTCGAAGTCATGTTTATTTCATTTTCGCTGTTAAAATATGGCTGTCTTCTTGGCGGTAGATGTGTGCTGTAGTAAAGTCCTCCCAGTAGGTCCAAAGCCGAATGCCGCAGAGTGTTGAGTTAGTCCTTATTTGCCAAGATTCGGCTTGTTGGGTGCGAGTGGAGTGTCAGTTACGTCACTGCGATGTGTGAATGTATTTGCCAGGAATTATCTTTACCCAACGAGTTTTTTTTGTTATGTGACTGATTTATTTTAAATTCTTGATTCATTCAAATGTCATGTTCTGTTCAACTGTCATGTTCTTTCGTATAACAGGGTATTTATTGGACTGTTAATTTAGTAGTACATTTAACACTGGTTAGCTGAAGAGGGAGGCTAGCGGTTTGATTTTTAACTTGTAAATAATATGGAGGTAATATGGGTACATTTATGACTACATATTTCTGTGCCGCAAATACCGTAAGTCTTAAAACATTCTTTTTTTTTGTTTTCAAATCAACGTAGAAATATAGGTGTGAACTTAAATGGCAAGTTTGTAATTATCAGTTCTTAAAAACACCTGAAAAAAAAAATTTTTTTTAAAGTCTTGTTGGGGCACGCGTGTCAAAGAAAATTGAAGCAAAAAAAACATTTTATTTTACAGAAATATTGATGGCGCGAGGTGCCTTGCAATTAAGTCAGTAGTCACCTCCTTTCAACTGCTTTTCTCTTGGCATTCGGGCGTGTGGAGGAAAGGTGGATCGGCTTCACCTTCACGTTGAGGTGGAAAGAACGAATGACCATCTCGTTGAGGTGGAAAGAGCAAATGACCATTCTGTCATGTCATGGACTTTGCCCGCATAATTTGAAATCAATCTTTTGCCGTCAATATTGCTCTGAACATTTTTTTTTTCGCATAAAATTCTTTTGACCCAACCGAATCCCAACCAAACTGCTTAAAATAATTTTTTTTTTAGAGGCCCTTTAAAGCTAGCTGAAGGGTTGAGGGTCACTATGATGTTGCAAGAGTAGGCCTAAGCAATTTATAAATTCACCTTCCTACTATTTGAAAAAAAGAAAAAAAGAGCTCTAAATTCTACCTTGCAATGCATGTGCCTGCGCCTGCACCTGCATTCAGAGTGGCGCGACCAGTTCATTCACATGCACCAAGAAATTTAGAGCGCACATCTATTGTGCAGCTAGCTGCATGATGAAGTGGCACACATGAACAGCTTGCTATCTAGTACTGTCGGTTGTGGCGGAGCTTAAGCAGGCCATAATGCATTCTTTGTTTTGACATGTGGCACATTTATCAATTATTTTAACTCTTGCGAATCACAACCTGTGTGTTCTTGGGTTGGGCTACTTTTATATATATATATGTATATATATATATTTTTTATAGAATTTGTGCATTTTAGTATGTATAGTTTTTTATTTTTTTATTAAGGTTAAATGGTACTTTATAGCAAATTAGCTCCTTGTAGAGCTGAAATTACATTTAGTCAATGGTCTCCCCAAACTGAGATGTTATATGCATTTGCTAGCTTTTTTTTTTGTAAAGGTGTAAAATAAGCTATAGTATACGGCAGCCAGCTCTGAAGCACAATAGATTGTTCACACTAATTAATCTATAAAAACTTGGACGATTCCACTAGGACAAATCCAGTTGTTAAGAAATTGTATTCATCCTACCCTTCGGGAAAGTCTGTATAAATATAGAGCTATGTCTTTCGCCACTGTGGGCAGAGGCCAGCTAAATTGCTACCGTTTGGAAGGTGGAGGGGTGATGTGCAGGGAAGCTAAGCCCTATCCCTCTCTCCCATATTGTCTGCTATAATTGTTTCAAATATCAAAAAAAATGGGGGGGGGGCAACTGCCCCCTCCCCTTGCACCCTTGTCCCGATGCCACTGTCAGGGGGTAATAACTTGGGGATGCCATAAATAAATGCAACCACTTACGGCTGCCATTGCATACAAAGGAGAAAATAGAGAGAGAGGGAGAGCGATGTGGATTATCTTTCTCTTAGGTATTCATGTCAGAAGGGGTACTAATGGTTTTGGATGGTTGTGGCTGAGCGAGATAGCCATGAGTGCTGCCTAAGTGTTTGGTTCGGACTCTTGTTCAATCGGCAAAAAAGCAAGTCCCAGTCAACTATTCAAGTATATCCTATGAATGGCTCCTGGGATTTTCGAAAATGGTCTATTGTCTTGCAAATGAGTGTGCTGGTATTAACTAAGGACACTTAGCAAGCTGTTTACTCATTTTTAATATTGCTGACTTTACATTAAAGCTGGTGAACTTTCAGCTTTCTGCAATGCATAGTTTTTTTTATTAGGTCCAAAAAAGTTGGGTATATCTTTCTTGATTGGATTCTGCAATATTGTGATCATTCAGCTGTGTTGAATGAAACATATGGGTTTCTTATCCCAGATTTGATATTTATTTTTATGCAGTCGGGGGGTGGTGGTCATTGCCTTGATTTCATAGTGTTTTGGCATAGAATTTTAGGAATTATTGCCATATAAGAATACACTTTCCATCAGAAAACTAAGCAACCTCATTCTTTGCAGCTCCTGCCATGGAGGTGGTAAAGAGCCTGGCAGCCCTGCTGAAGGATTCAACAGCTTCTCTCATTGAGAAGGTATGGTATTCCATTCTGATATAATTTCTAACCTCTTAAACGAAGTGAAAACTGGCTCACATATCAATTTCAGTATGCATGGTAACTCAGAACCCTGCTCGCAGGTACCTGTGAAGCAAAAGCAGCCAGGGAGGCTGTTCTAAGAGCAGCCTCTCTGGCATCTCGTAGAAAAAAAGAAACCTGCAGTTTAACAGAGATTCATCATCACCAACTCGAAGAACACACAAAAAGCGTCGAAAGAAATCAGAAGAGTAGCTTTAAAAAAGATGAAGTTGTTTAAAAACTTGGTTTGCCAAAAAAATTTAAAAATATTATAATGTGACTAAATATGGTGAAGGAGATGTTCAAACACTTGTTCTGCACCTGTTGCTGGGCTGACAGGCAGTATTGGTCTTATGCCTTCAGCCTCTATAAGAGATGCTCTAATAAAGCAACACGCAACAGTGTTTTATATAGGCATGTATTACCTCAGCAGACTCCGAGCATACCGAGATACATACAATAAAATGCAAATGAGCCTGTCGTGCTTATTTGGTAATTCTGGCAATTTATAAAGACAATGTCGTGTGAAGTGGGGAAAGAAAGTTTAGGCTTCAATCTTTGAGCTAGTTGAAAGGCCAAAATTATAGCAAAAGGCAGGATATGGTGTTGTTGCTCTTATTGTGTGCTGGTGTAACATGAACAAATATTTTCATCTACAAATTGTCACTTTACTGAAGTGTCCCTTTAATGGTGTGCTACTTGATGTGCTATTTGCATTGTGTTGTATTTTTTTGGGCCCACGAGGGGGCCACATAAATTGCCGCGCATGATGTGGTGGCCGAGTGGGCACCACTCCTGGGTGTCATGCAGGGGTCCTGGGTTTGAATCCGGGGACCACTGCAGTTGCTTAATTACTCGAAAAACCTGTGGTTCTAGAAATTTGCTCACAGTGCTCAATGCTCAACGCCTTGTGTTGTAATGGTCTCATATATTGAACCGCCTCTACAGAGGTCAGGGAATTTCACCTGAAATTGTCAGGGAAAATCTGGAAAAGTTGGGGAATTTCAAAATAATAATTCGCTAGACACCCTGAAATTGCTGTAATTACCCCGAGGAGACTGAGTAGACTTTCTTTTGTAATTATCTTCCTTTCAAATACTACAAATTGCCCATGTCTCTTCTTCACAGGAGGAGGATCATGTCCAGCCAGCCTTCCCTGTGATGCAAGTCAGGGGAGGGGCCTCAAGTTCACCACTCACAGTGGTGCTGGAGGACTGCTCTTTCGAGGTAACGGACATTGTGGCCGGTATTGCGCTCATTCTTGCGCTATACTGGGTCCATGACATTTCCTGCTGTCCAAAAGCATCCTGGTCACTTGCTGTGATTGGCAACTTCATTGGCTTGACCTACAAGACCAAGTCATTCTTGGTACTAGATTTAATTTCAAAACTGGAAGATTGAGATCTTAAATGAGTGTATTTTTTTACATGTACATTAAAATCTGTTTTTTTAACGAGCACCGTATTACTGTTTTCACTCGACCTTGTATGAGGGCCTGTATGGGCACCCTCTGAAAAGGCTCAAGCAACACCTTTCGTCCTGTGAGCACATGCAGAATTCTCTTCGGACATTCGCATCCGTGCATTGCGGAGTGTTGTAGCTGTGAACAAGAAATGCCCATATTCGAGGGAAATAAACACCTTGCTTAAGGGATTCAATGTCTTGGAAGCTCTTTGTTTGGCCTTCTATAGAGTTCAGGCACACTACATGAAAGGGAAAAGATAACACCTAACAGAGTGTACTTTTAGCTCTGACGTAGAGCTTAATTAACACTTCTTATGGAGCTGAAGTTACCCTTTACGAGGGAGTTAAAATAACTCTTGGCATGAGAGTGTAGCCTTGACCACTCATTAGAGTTGTTCTATTTGCACCTAAGAGAGTAGCCACAACATTCGCTTCGAGGGTACGTACAACACCACCTGTAGGAGTCTATGCTACTCTTCAAAAGTGTTAATTTTACACCTCATTTCAAGGAGTAACCGTTACCCTAGAAAAGAGTAACACTAACTCTCGTCAAGAGTAACTCCTGGTTACTCTCAAAAGTGTAAAGTCAACACCTCGTTTTGAAGAGTAATTGTAACTCTTGTCAAGAGTAACTCCTTGTTACTCTTAAAAGAGTAAAGTCAACACCTTCTTTCGAAGAGTAACCCTAACTCTCAAAAAAGGGTGGATTCTGCGACAAACCATTTACACTCCAAAAAGTGTTAAGGTGACGCCTTTTTTTTTTAGAGTGTTGCGTCTGTAGAGGGCTGCCAGTGCATCGTACAAAAGACAGTCCGCAGCCACTGCCTGAGGCATGTATCATCCTTGTACGATGGTCGTGTCGCATTGGTCAGACAAACACTGTCTGGCTTGTCCGGAGCATACACATCTGTCAATCAAACATAATTCCGACATGATTGTAGCGCGTACGTGGATAATTTTTTCATCATGTCTGCGGAAAACATCGTAACCCTCAGGGCCGTAACCAGGTAGGGGGGGGGGGGGGGGTTAGGGGGTTCTGACCCTCCCCGAAAGTTTTTTCTGGGTACGGCCCTGGTCGGTGCACTTGCAGCCAGCCGATTTTAATCTCCACCTCTGCGCACGCGCAGTGGCACCGGTCGGCTACCGGGTACCAAACCGGGACCGGTTCTTCGGTTTGCTATAACTCTTCATTATATGCCACAGATGCACATGATTCATAGGCGAAAATAAGACAAAATGGCCGCCGTTGTCCCCGAAACCCCCCCCCCCCCCCCCCCCCCGAAATTGTTTTCTGGGTACGGCCCTGGTACCCCTTGTAGGATACATGGGCAGTGTCACTTAGGAACTACCAGAGGCGATCGAATAAAAAAAATTAGGCCGACATGTTGTTTATTTACTAAATAAACTAGCATCTGCTTGGAACCATTGTCTCTTTCTTTCTACGTGGCCCTAGAGTTCACAATGTATACAATTAACAAAGAGAAACCTTTCGCAGCAAAGGACAACAAGGAGCTATTATTGCCTTATTCTTTCATTCGATTGACTTCAAGTTCAGAGATTACTATTCGAGCATAGAATGCCCAGTGCGCGAAACAATATTTCCTGCGACGCCGGTGACTATACAGGCGGCGCGATTATTAATCAGGATGCCCCTGGGGTCATTTTTCACAATGCCAGCTGCCCGTGTCAATCCCGACGGGTCCCGTCGGCTTTGGTAACGAAAAAGGCCTTTTGTTTTGGGAAGAGCGTGCTTTGTTTCCGGGTGAGAGGGGCACTCGGTCACTGCCAGCGCGTCAGACCAGTCAGGCCTTCGAAACCAGACTGCACACGCTTTACAATAAGGTTCTCTATTTTAGGGTAAACAGAGAGGCGTGGGCGGCGACGAGAAAACGTCATATATATCTGGAAAGTACTGGGTGACTCGATCGTTCTATTTTGTCTCACGTTTTAATGTCGAATAAATTAGCGGAATGAGAACGCTGAAATTTAGCTCAGGCGTCTAGAAAAAGCGATTGATGTAGGTGTTTGAAAACTCCAGTGAACATGGAAATAACCTTTAGTCAAAACAATTTTTTTTCCCACGAAGGGGCGCCAGGGCGAAGGATATTCCCACCCTCTTATGCTCTTCGAAATATAAATGTCTAAGCGACTTGAAGATCTGTCTTTTGTGGTCTGAATTTCCAGAATCAAAAGCTTAGCATAGCTTAACATAACCACATGTAAATGTCATGTTATTTTTTAACCTTTTCACCCGCGTCATTAACGGGGTGAAAGCTTTTAAAACCTCGGTTTTACTTGCAAGCAGCATTTTATATATATATATATATATACACAAGTCCTTTCGCCAAGTTAACGAAACATTTAAATTCATCCCTGGTAACGCAAAAACGTAATTTTGTGCCGTGCTATTCGGCTTTTGGCTACTCCTTCCGTTGCTCCCATCGCAAGCCGCGAATTCGAGAGATTTTCTGCTCAACATCTGGCATTCTTATCTAAACGTACTTTTTTCTTTTTTAGATTTTGAGTAGAATTCGGGTTAGATTAAACATTGCGTTTCCGTCAATTTTCTACTTCCGCAGTGGGGAAACGACGACAACCATGTCATCGAGATACCCTTTACAATCTGGAAGATGCTTCGTTTTCGGAAGCTCAAAGAGATCCGGACAATTGAAGAATTCGAAAGGGTTATCAGCGCAAATCTCACTAAGGCCACTAAAAAGGTGCCTGTTCTGAGAGGTTAGGCTTGTGTAAACGGTAAATACGAGAAGCTTCGAGCTATCCCGCTTAGAGCTGAAAGACGATATTGGCGATCAGGAAGAGCAGGGGTCTATAGATAAGCACAGCCTATCTGCACTAAAATAAATCGGCTTTTACAAAATCTTTCTAAACGACGATGGAGAAAGCTTTGTGCAACATGTCTCCCTTTCACTCAGGTCAAAATGGTATGGAATATAGTGCGCTCTTTGAAATCGTCAGTTACTCAGCGAAGACCTATCCGAGCTTTGGCCCTAGCTGTCACGAGGTACTTCCGAAATAACAATGGCTAATGAGTTTTGCGTTTCGCTTACACCAGAGCCGTGTAGGGGGAGAGTTTGGCCAGTCTATGATCTCGTCGCCGTAACGCTCTCCTCCCGAGTGAGCCAATCAGCCCACGGCGCAGAGCGAGAGGCGTGAGCGCATGCGCGTGGACTCCCGGCTGCTCCCAGCTGAGCGGGGAGGGCCGCCATTTTCAGTCATTCGCCCGGCGGAATGCATGGGATTGACATCTAAATTTCGGTTATTTCCTTTTATATCGCTGGCTGTGGCAAGAAAATGATATACTGTTATTCTTCGGTGGGTTGAAAAGCTAAGGAATAAAGTTTTCTCAACGTATGGTCACAAACATTTATTCAGGCGAAAAAGAAGTCGGCCCGTAGCACACGACGAGTAGCCTCAACAGTGCCCTTCTCCGACCAGTCTCCGACAGTGTTGCGTAAAAATGGCGGTCGTGTCCACTTTGCTCCCTTCTTTCTCTATCTCTCTCTCCTTCGGCGCTATCCTCCCTTTCCTTTACTTTTCTCCTCTCCGGCGCCTTCGTCGCCACACCAACTGGCCAAACTCTCCCAACAAACGGCTCTGGCTTGCACAACCGGGGGCAACAATATTCTCTTCGGAGTATAGCGCATCATGTGAGGCCACCGAGAAAAGCATTGCCAAGTGATTAACTCAAATAACTCACAACTGGACTTAGATTTCAGTATTCGTGATCTAGATGATGCACTGAGGACAATGTCTAAGCGCACAACTCCGGGTCATGACCAAATAACATACAAAGCACTTGCAAATCTTGGTCCTTGAATCAAAGGGAAACCTTCTTGTGATATTTGATGACATTCGGAGTACGGAAACTATGCCAGATCCATCTAAACTTTCAAAAGTCGTTCTTTTACTCAAGTGTGAGAAAACTCCAGCTGCATTAAAATCACTTTGTCCAGTATGTCTCACAAGCTGTGTCGGGATGCTTATGGAAAAGATGGTGCACATACGTCTGCAATGTTGGTTTGAATTAAATTGTGTTACCAGAAAAAATGACTGGACTTCGCCCACGGCGACGCACAATGGACTTCGTCCTTCACATTAACACGACCGCCAATCTGGCAACTCAACAGTTGCGGTGTTTTAGATATTCGTCGTGCTTTTGATACCGTGAGCCACACAGATGTTCTGAATGGACTAAATCAATTGAGGGAGCGAGGTTGCATTATACGCTGGATTAGAGACTTTTGCTGGGCCGTAAAACATCTATAGTTACGAGCGAGGGAAAGAGCAAAACACATGAGGTAAAGCACGGGGTCCCGCAAGGTAGCGTACTAAGTCCTACTTTATTCAACATGGTCATGGCTAAATTGCCAAAACGACCTCCACACCTCTAAATTTGCATGTACGCTGATGACATTTGTATACGGGCATCCGGTTCTTTCTCTGAAATATTACAAGCTCAATTGCAATCTGGCCTTGATGAAGCAAACACATACTTTCGCCAACGAAGTATGGAAATTGTTGCTGAAAAATTCGCAGTTCTTACTTTCACGAGGAAACAGCTCAAAGGATTTAGGGTCATCATCCAAGGTCAAAACATCGAACGAGTCAAATGGCATGGATTCCTTGGTGTTGTGCTAGAGTGTTCGCTTACATGGTCAAAACTTATTTATATGTTTAAAAGAAAATTAAATGCCATCGTCAATGTTCCTTGATGTATTGCGGGTGCTAGAGGGGGTTGGTCGGCAGATGGTGTTCTACATCTCCATACAGCTCACGTACGACAGACGATCGCGTATTCAATGCCAGTCCTGCATGATATTTCACCAAGACCAGAAAAGCGCTTGGAATATATGATCGCACGAAGTCTGCGCATATGTCTAGAAGTCTCTCGAGCAACTTCTTCTGACGTGGTCTCGGCGGAGGCCCGAGAAGAACCCCTGTGTCCGTCTTTCGTGCCCAAGAGACAAGTCGG